CCGCTGTAGGCAACGCAGCTCGTCCAAATCACCAACTAGTGGGCGGATCGCTTTTGGGGCGGAGTGCTTTCGAAGTCCTGCTCAGCAACCAGCGCACCTTTCGTCGTGAAAGCGCCACACCTCGCTTCCTTGGCAGCCAAGTAACTGCTTCGTGTGGTGCATATGCTTCCCCGATGCGCTTCCTTTATAATTTCAGCTTTAATACTGGTCTAGTGCCTGGTGTCCAGAGGGATGTCTTGATCGACTACCACTCCTATCATTATTTGTTAGGTCGATGAGCAGAGATGCACTTATCCAGATGTGGTCTATTTGTTCAATTTTCAGGTTTGGTTGAAACTGAAAGATATGGCCGTTGATGGTGTGATAGCGGAGTTTATCTACAGTGTTCGACATAGCTCAGAGTTGACGTTGAACGTGAAGCGGCATCTATCTCTACGACGAGAATCACTACCGGTTCGGTTTTCCAATATTCCTTATCTAACCCTGGCCAGCGTAGAAAAGATTTTCTCGAATTAATTCGACCTGACTGCAGTTCCGCGTTCCGATTCTAGCCGTCTAAAGCCAACATGTTCCTTCTTCTGGAAGAAAAAAGGAGGCTGTAGTCAGTGGGTTTTCCAGGATTGCTTCAATGGCTTTTTTAACTGCGCATTCTCGCGATTTTTAATTCCTACCTGCTGCTGAAAGTTGGATATTGATGCCGGAGCGGCTAATCGGAAATCGGAACGCGAAACTTCATTTTTCAGGCAAAGGTTTAAAAATCACTTTGTTCGAGGTTAAACCGTCAAAATTCCCTGCCTCTCATTCTACTCACACTTATTGCTCATTTTCAATGAATAAATCTGTACATAAAATCTGGCTGTCGGCATTTCTTGGTCTAACGCGAATATTGCTGATGCAAACGCATGCCAGCGTAAGCTCCCAGTACGCCGCCGCCATATCACTCTGTGTGGCCACATGATCGAGTTCTTACGCGAATCTAACGAAAAGGGTCTATTCCAGTTAGGGGGGCATCATGATGCAGTTTCTCGGCGAGCTAATGTAAACTCGAACATTCCAGCTTCTCACGCATGTCAAGTGACTGCCCTCACCCCCCACCCCCCTAGGCTGGCTACACTCCCCCTGGCTCAGAGTTACCGTAGCTTTTTGGGAGTCACCGCACCATGATGCCCCCCCCCCCTAACTGGAATAGACCCAAAA